TCTTATACTGCAGAAATCGCTGCCCTCATTTTACAGATATGTAAGGTACACACAGGTAACCTCACATAGGTAAGGAAATTGAGCCAGGGTCACATGACTAGTAAGAAGCAGGGTTAGGATTCGAACAGATGTGCCTCCTGGACTCCTAGACTGCCTCTATCTCCTACTCTTCCCGAAGTCAAGCTTGACATTGCTGCCCAGCTGGTGTGGCTCAGTGGTTGAGTGTTGACCCAGGCACCAAGAGGTCGCCGGTTCAATTCCTGGTCAGGGCACATGCCCAGGTTGTGGGCCCAGTCCCCAGTGGGGGGCATGCAGGAGTCAGCCAATCGATGTTCTCTCTCATCGATATTTCTATTATCTCTTCCTCCCTCTCCCTTCCTCTCTCTCTAAAATCAATAAAGAAAAAATTTTTTAAAAAGTCTTACAAATGAGATTTGGGGGATTCATAATTTTTTCCATCTGTACAATTACTGAGAAAGTACAGAGCTGAGTAAGTAATCCCAGCATATTCCCCTGACTTCATAAAGGTTGCCAGTAAAAATTATGGAAAATGGTCTTGCAACATTCAGTATTACTAACCTATATGAACATAATGAGTGACAAAAATCAATGCCACAAGTTACATAGAGGGTACCTATAATCTTTTTTTTTTTTTCTTTATTGATTTCAGAGAAAGAGGAAGGGAGAGGGAGAGACAGAAACATTGATGAGAGAGAACATCCATTGGCCTCCTCCTGCATGCCCCCCTTCTGGGGATGGGGCCCACAACCTGGGCATGTGCCCTGACTAGGAATAGAACCAGTCTTGGTGCATGGGTGGATGCTCAACCACTAAGCCACACCAGCCGGGCTATAATCTTTTTATTTTAAAATTGTAGTTTTTGAACTGGGCAACCATTCAGTGCAGGACTAATGTTACAAGGGAAAGAAAAGACTTAGAAAGAAGGACATAAGAAAGGGATAGAGGTGTGTTTTGAGTTAACGATGTTACAAATTTCACTTAAGGGAAAAAGAAACATTTAGGAACATTAAATGTTTGTAATTTTGAATACATGTGGTTGAAATAATATAGGCTTTGGAGCCACAAAGACTTGGTTTGAATCTCAAATTTATTATTTATTATCTTTTTTAATTTGGCAAGTTATTAAACCTCTGAGCCTAGAAGCAGAGTGCTAGAAGAAGAGGAAAGCATAAGTAAAAGCAGTATTTGAAGAAATACCGGCCAACAATTTTCCAAATCTGTTTAAGGACATTGACCAATAGACTGGAGGAGCTCAGAAAACCACAGCTGTCATAAATAAGAAATTCACACCTTAGAAATCATAGTCAAATGCACGAAAACCAAAGACAAAAAAATCTTAAAAGCATGTGATCTTACTTCTTAGGACGCTCCAACTTAATCACTCTCTTTCTTGCTGTTCCTTGAACATACCTGGCACAGTCTGGCTTTAGAGGCATTGTAGTGGCTGTTTCTTTGGCCTGGAACACTCTTCTCCAACATGTCTCTCCAGACACAGTATTTAAAAATCATAGCCTACTTCCCACCCACCTGTCCACCTCCTCTCCACCCCACCCATTCCCTTACACTTCCAATCACCCTACCATGCCCCGTGCCTTATTTTTCCTCAGAACTTTCCATCTTCTAACATATAATTTACTATGTTTACTGCTTATTGTCTGTCTCCACCCACTGAAAGGTTATCTCTAAAAGGATAGGTATCTTTATGTTGATTGTTGTATCCCAAGTATCTTGAACAGTGCTTTGCACATATAGGTGCTCAAAGATTATTTGTTGAATGAACGAATGTTAACTATTATATTGTTGTCATTAGTATTCTAAGCCTCCTTAGACACCAAATAACTTGTTCATGTCATGTCTTCCATATAATAGAGCTTTTTGTATTTACCTTTAAAAATGCTTTTGACATGTTATACAGAGGTACAATAGGGCAGTAATTAAATTTAAAAACAAAGACTCTGGAACCGGATAGCATGAATCTGCAAGTAACAGGATTTCATTTATATACATTCTGCATTATATATCTTCTTTTGTAGAATATAGGCAAACAACCAAATTGATGTTCTTTTCTGATTTATACACACACACACCACACACAAGCACAGTAGCAATAATATCAATTGTGTAGTGCTCATACAGGTTCTAAGTATTTTAGTGCATTTAATCCTTCTATCAATCTCATGGAAACCAAGGCACAGAAAGATTAATTTGTATCAAGTCCTAAACTACTAAGTGACTATGCCAGGATTTAGATCCACACTGGGTTCCAATAAAAACCAAGCCCGGCCAGTGTGACTCAGTGGAGATCGCCAGTTTGATTCCCGGCCAGGGCACATGCCCAGGTTGTGGGCCCAATCTCTAGTGGGGGGCACATGGGGGGTGATCAATCGATGTTCTCTCATTGATGTTTCTATCTCTTTCTCCCTTTCCATCTCTCTAAAATCAATAAAGAAGAAAAAAAATTTAATAAAAAACAAAAACAACTTTTTAGATTAGAAAGGATAATTCCTAAATACATAAAAATGAACAAAATAGTCCTAGCAGGTGTGCTTAGTTGGTTGGGCATCATCCCAGGCACTGAAGTCTTGTGGGTTCAATTCCCAGTAGGGGGCACACAGGAGGCAGCTACTCTCATGTCAATGTTTCTCTCTCTCTCTAAAATTCAATAAAATTTTTTTTTCAATGAACTAAATATAGTAATTAAATTTAAGTCTGCTAAAAGAAAACAGAACCACCATTCTTAGCACTAAAGAATAAAATGCAGATATTAGTAGGTGTCACTAGGTGATGCTGTTTGTTAAATTTCCCTCCTGGTAATCTGAGGAATTATTCAGATGGGAAAGAATTTACTCTAGGCCTAATAATAATTTAGTTATCTCTTTAACCACAAAAGTTACATAGTGCAGAAAATAAATTTATATGCTAACAAGTCACACAAATTGGGAAAGAAACTTTCGGTATGACTGTAAGCTTAGACTATTGAGACTTCTACATAATGAACATGGTATCTCTACTTATTTTTATCTTTCTCTATTTTCACCTTTATTTTCTTTAATATCCTGATAAGATTATATATATTTATTTATTTTATTTTTTCTTATTGACTTTAGAGAGAGAGGAAGGATGGAGAGACACAGACACATCAATGAGAGAGAACATCAATTGGCCACCTCCTGCATGCCCCCCACTAGGGATCAGGCCCACAACCTGGGCATGTGCCCTGACCGGGAATTGAACTGGCCACCTCTTAGTGCATGGGTCGATGCTCAACCACTGAGCCACACCGGCTGGGGAGATTATATATATTTTTGTTGACAGCGTTCATAGATATTTTTAAAATGTATTCCTGATTAACATATATTTTAAATGTGTCTTTACTTTTTTATATTGAAAAATTTTTTAAACTCTTTTTTCAGTGACTGATTTTTAGAGAGGGGAGACAAATACATAAAGAGACATCAATTTGTTGTTTTATTTATTTATGCATTCATTGGTTGCTCTTTGTATGTGCCCTGACCAGGGATCAAACCCACAACCTTGGCATATCCAAACAATGCTCTAACCTACCGAGCTACCCAGCCAGGACCTATGTTGAAATATTTTAAAATAAATTGACATTACATTCTTAAATATTTAGTATGCATTTCTTATATAACATTATTACACTTCTCCAAAACAATTCCTTAATATCTTCTAATATCTAAAAACCAGTCAAAACATTCAAAGGAGCTCAAACTTAGTAATTAGAAAAATAAAAATTAATGAGACAAAGACATACATTGCACACATATCAAACTTCAGAGCACTGAACGCTAATACACTGCTATGGGGAAGGAAGAGAATACTTCTCGAAAGACAGCTGGCATTATACAGGGTGGGGCAAAATGATGTTTGTATGGAAAATAATACAATAATTAATAAATAATAATACAAGAATAAACTGTTTCTCGTACTCACAACTGTAAACCCACTTTTGCCCACCCCTGTGGAGTAATACTGAAGATGCAGATACCTGATGCCCTCGACCACTGCTGGATTCATATATACAAACATGTGTACCAAGAAACAAGGCATATGTACCAAAAAACATATAATAGTGCTCACAGCAGTATTGTATTTTTTTTTCTTTATTGATTTTTTTGAGAGAGAGGAAGGGAGAGAGAAAGAGAGAGATAGAAACATCGATGAGAGAGAACATCGATAGGCCGCCTCCTGCACGCCCCCCACTGGGGATCTGGCCCACAACCCGGGCATGTGCCCTGACAGGAATCGAACTGGGCGACCTCTTGGTGGATGGGTCGATGTTCAACCACTGAGCCACACCGGCTGGGCGCAGTATTGTTTTTAATAGGAAAACATTGAGATAACTCAAATGTCCCTCAAGATTAGGGAGTATAAAGTAAATTGTGGTATGTAAATACAATAGAACAAAACAGAGTCATATAAAATAAACTAATAAGAGTTCTTGCAACAACCTGAATTAATCTCACAAATTTCATAATAATAAAATAAAGGAGATTTACAAAATAACATACATAATATAAGTGTATTCAATAACCAATGCCTGCCACTTATTTTCAAATGGTTCAGCAAACAAAATACATTTCCATATCCACCTATTCAGATACAAAGAAAACATGGCAAATTGTTAACAGATATGAACCTAGGTAGAAGTATACAAAGGTTCATTGTATTATTTTGTTCTTTAGGTTTGAGATTTTTCAAAATAAAAATTAAAAAATAATTTAAAAATCAGATAAAGCTAATGTATATTGTTTAGGAGTAGTTTCTTCATCTGGGTGATAGATGTATGAGTTTTCTTTATAAGTGTTTATTAGACTATGCATCTATATTTTATGCAGTTTTCTGTATGTGTTTTCACAAAAGAAAAAAGGTGAAATGTGATGATGTACATAAAAAAACTTTTAAAAAACTGCTACATACTTGTTAAACATTATTAAAAAAAAAAAAGTTTTGCTTCATAAAGCACCCAAACATAAGGTAAGGGGACTCTTGTTATGTGGGTTATTTACTTGAGATAAATTTATCAAAGGGTACATACTGAGGACCAATTTTTGAGGCTAGCAATATGTCATCTGATTTTTCCATGATATAGTTCTAAAAAAACCTTCAATTCTGAATCTTGTTTACTATGGTATTAGGTAGCATATTCTTCTAAATAATTCCCATGAACTGCAATAAGATACCCCAATGCTCATTTTGGCAGATACTCTAGCATATGCTACTTAAAAATTTATTGTAAGAAAACTGCGTAAGTTTTATAATTACTCAAATATCATACACAATTTATATTGTCCATGTATAAATGTTGCCACTCTATAGGTTATTCCAAATTCTTCCTTAAGATTTCACAGTTTTTTGTAAAACCTTCAAAGTGTTTAGAATTTCATGTTTTCACACTGACTTTAAATATATTATTCTATTTGTCATCTTCTTCTGAGTCATCTAAATCAATATCAAAGTCTAAATCATCATTTTCTTCTTCATTTCTTCTGCAGCTTCTTCTACAGTCAGAACATGGATTATTTTCAATGTTTTCTGTCTTTTCTGGTTCTTTATTAAACCTAAAGTGGAAGGAAAAACTTCTCTTTATTTCTCAGGCTTTCACAATTTAACTGTGTAGACTGAAAAGAACTTTACACTACATTTCCTGATTAACAGAAGCCTAATGAAACAAGCATAGAGAAAAAGATCCTTGAAGACTAATTTAAGATCTAACAAATTATAATACTGCTGTCAATAAAGTGGGTTCAACAAAATTAATGCATGATATCCATTAAAGAAAATTAATTACATAATAAGGAACTTTTTGGAATGAGCCATGAATATGAACTTCATGGATAAATATTTTAATTTCCTAAAAATAAGAAGTTTCACTTTTATTGTAATGATAAATTAAGACTTTTTCCTGTTAGGTAGAAAAAGTCTACATTAGTGTGATAAGATTCTCAGAGCTACTGAATGTTTCCTTAAATAAAATTCACTTATCAATTACTAAAAGAGTAAAACCCAAACATAAAAAAAATACTCACGGAGTAACAATGTCTTCTTTCTTTCCACATTTTGCACAAACTTCAAGTTCACAGGCACATGGTCTACATATTATGTGATAAGAATCCTTCACTGTCTTTTGTAAACATTTAACACTAAAAGTGGAAAATGAAATCAAACATTAATTTTTATTAACACCTAAGATTTATTTGATAACATGAGCAAGTACAGCTAAATATATAGGTAAAATAAACAAAACAGCCCAGCCAGTATATCTCAGTGGTTGAGCGCTGACCCATGCACCAAGAGGTCACCAGTTCCATTCCCGGTGAGGGCACATGCCCAGGTTGTGGGCCAAATCCCCAGTGGGGGGCATGCAGGAGGTGGCCAGCTGAGAGAGATGTTTCTCTCTCTCTTTCTCTCTCTTTCTCTAAAATCAATAAAGAAAAAAATTAAAAATAAATAAATAATAAACAAAACATCTGAATAGACATTTTTCCAAAAAAGATGCATAAATGGCTAATATGCACATGAAAAGATGCACAGCATCATTAGCCATCAGGGAAATGCAAATCAGAACCACAATGAGATACCACCTCACACCCATTAGGATGATTATTATCAAAAAGAAAGACAACAGCCCTGGCTGGTTTGGCTCAGCAGTTGGAGCGTTGGCCTGTGGACCAGAGAGTCCCAGGTTCGGTTCCCACTAGGGGCACATACCAAAAAATAAAAATTAAAAATTAAAAATATTAAAAGAAACAGAAAGACAACAACAAGTGTTAGTAAGGATGTGGAGAAATTGGAATCCCTGTATTGCTGGTGGGAAGTACAGAGGTGTGGTTGTTATGGGCAGTTAGACAGACATGAGCAGAGCAAGGATGATGGGCCAGGTACAGAAACTCACCAGGGCAGAAAGCCCCAGATGCCTAGCAAGGAGCAAAACTGGGAAAATAAGAACCTTGCCCCCAAGGGTAACCTTTCCTCACTAGCATATTGCTGGTCATGGGTTTTGGAATCCCTGATTTTTCATATCGTTAGTCCTGTGGTTTAGATTCCCTGACTTTTCCTCCCTAACGATGACATCTAGGCTTCAGTTGTATTTCACCTCCAGGTCCAGAAAAGTAGTAAAACCGGAAGAGTGATACCATGGGTGCCGCAGGATCAGCTGCACTGACTACTGACCCCCTGCCCTGGCACTGACCAATCAGTGGAGACCACGGCCCTGAAAGAGCACTGCTGGGAAGCTGATGAATATTCAATTAAAACCCTTCCCTGAGACCTCCCCTAAGATTCCCACCTGCAAGTAGGAGATAAATACCCTCAACACAAAGGAACCTGTGAGCACTCTCCCTCAGGAGAGCATGTCCATGCCATTCCCTTCCCCCTTCTTCCCTCTAAGGGACCCCAGGAGACTTGCAACCAGGGGAGCAACAGGCATCCTCAGCTCACCCAGGCTAACCCCCTGAATCTGTCTCTAAAGCCCCTTCTCTCTGACTTCCCATGAGCCAATGCAGCCCAACCTCGGCTCTCTTGTTGCTTCTTCTCTGCCCTTTTTCATTTCACTGTCCTAAGTGTGTTTTTGCTGTGGCCAATAAATTCTTGCTTGCTTTGTTGCACTTTGTCTCTTGACTGAAATCTTCCCTTCAAGAAGACAAGAACTGAGGTCCCAGCCAGTAACCCCTAACCTAGTCACTTTTGAAGATAATTTGGCAGTTTCTCGAAAGGTTAAATATAGAATTATCAAATAACCCAGGAACTCACTTTTAAATATACCTGAGAATTAAAAACCTATATGCACAGAAACACTTGTACATGAAATGTTCATAGCAGCGTTATCCATAATAACCAAAAAAGTGGAAACAATCCAATGCCCAGCAGTGGATGAATGGATAAATAAGACTTACAGCTATATGATGGAATATTATTTAGTAGTAAAAAAAGAATTAAGTACAGATAAATGTTGCAATGTGCTTGAAAAAGGATGCTAAGTGGAAAAAGTCAGTAACAAAGACTATAAATGATTTTGTTTATATGAAATGTTCAAAATCAATAAATCTATACAGACAAAAAGCAAGAGGTGGGAGATGTTTGGGGGGGGAAATAGAGATTGACTGCTATGAGTCTGGGTTTCTTTCTGAGATAACAAAAATGTTCAAAACTTGATTGTTGTGACTGTTGTACAACTCTGTGATATACTAAAAGCCACTGAATTGTGCACTCCAAATGGATGAACTGTATAGTACGTGAATTAAATCTTAATAAAGCTGTTTTTAAAAGGTCAAATGGAGCCCAGCCAGTACAGCTCAGTGGTTGAGCGTCGACCCATGCACCAAGAGGTCGCCGGTTTGATTCCCAGTCAGGACACATGCCCAGGTTGTGGGCCAAATCCCCAGTGAGGGGCATGCAGGAGGTGGCCAACCGATGCTCTCTCTCATTGATATTTCTCTCTCTCCTTCTCGCTTCCTCTCTCACTCTAAAATGAATAAAGAAAAAAAATGTAAGTCAAATGAAAATGTTAGAAAGAAGAAAAACATGGAGTGAAAGATATACGATATAAGAAATCCACTTTAAACAAAAATAAATAGATAGTTAAAAAGTAGAACAAGAAAAAACATGCAAATGCTAATCAAAAGAAAGTATATTAAACCCTGGCTGGTGTGGCTCAGTGGTTTGGAGCATCAGCCCAAGCACTGAAGGGTCAAGGCATGTACCTGAGTCGCAGGGTTTGATCCCAGGACAATGGATGTCTCTCTCTCCCTCCTCCCTTCCACTCTCTCCAAAAATCAATGGGAAACTATCCTTGGATGAGGATTATCAACAACAAAAATGTATATTAACATAACAAAGAAATCAATTTTCCCAAAACACACAATAATCCTGAATGTTTATGTGCCCAACAATAGGTTGTAAAGATAAATGAGGGAAAACTATTAAAATAAAAAGAGAAATAAGATAAAAAGACAAATTCACAATTACACCTCTCTCTGTAACTAACTGGACAAATAGAAAAAATCAGTAAAGATATAGAACACATGGTTGACGGAAGACTATGAACCAAATTGACATTTATAGACCCCTCCACCTAACATGAACAACATGTTCTTTTCAAGTCCACATGAAACATTCTCCAAGATAGATCATATCTGAGCCATAAAACCAACCTCAATAAATTAAAACAAAAAGACACCTAAAAACTTATATGAAGTATGTTATCTTACCACAGTGAAATTAACTAGAAATCAGTAACAGAAAAATATCTGGGGAATGCCCAAATATCTATAAATTAAACAGATTCTTTCTAAAGAATCTACAGGTCAAAGAGAAAGAAACAGGAAAATTAGAAAATATTTTGATTGAATGACAATGAAAATACATCATCAAAATTTGTAAAATGAAGCTAAAAAAAGTTATTGGGAAATATATATAATTACATGTTTATATTAAAAAAGAAAAACTAAACTTCCACCTTAAGAAAGTAGAACAAGACAGCCCTGGCCAGTTTGGCTCAGAGGTCAGAGCATCAGCCTGCGGTCCACAGAGACCCAGGTTCCGTTTCCGCTAAGGGTGCGTACCTCGGTTGCAGTTTGTCCCCAGCCCTGGTTGGTCGTGTGGTGGCCACTCAATGTGTCCCTTTCACGTCGATGTTTCTCTCTCTGTCTCTTCCTCTCTCTCCCTCCCACTCTATCTGAACAAAAAATGGAAAAATGTCCTTGGGTGAGGGTAACAAAAAAAGAAAAAAGAAAAGAAAAGAAAATAGAACAAGACAAATTAAACTAAAAGCAATCAAAAAGAAGAAACAGTGACATGAATGGAAATTAATGAAATTGAAAACAGAAGAATAGAGAAAACCAGTAATACAAAACCAGGCTCATTGAAAAGATTAACGTAATTAATAACACATAACCAGGCTGATCACGACAAAAAACAAAAGGAAGAAAATTACCAATATCAGAAATTGAAGAGGGAACAGGACTACAAATCCAAGAGATATTATAAGAATAATAACAAAATTTTACTGGCAACTCTATGCCCATAAATCCAATATCAGTGAAATGGACAAATTCAAGAAAGAGACATTATCAAAACTTGCTTAAGAAGAAATACTTAATCTAAAAATTCCTCTATCCATTAAATAAAAATTTAATCATAGTTAAAAACTCTCCAACAAATAAAACTCCAGGCCCAAATGGCTTCACTGATGAATTCTACCAAACATCTAAGAAATAATACTAACTTTTTTGGGGCGGAAATTTGGTTGGTGGGGAGAGACAGACTGCACACTCGGAGGATTAGGAAAGGACTGTTTAGTGTGCACTGGTGCTGGAACAGAGGACCCCCTCCAAAGGCTGGGCCCGCGCCCAGGTTCCAGCTGCCTTTGATACATGATAAGCTTCTGGGTATTTGGGGCTTTCTAGTTCCACTGTAGTTTAGGCGGTTGGCTGATGTAAGGGGCAAGCGGGATTACAGGGGTGGGGTCTCTGCACTGCCAGCTAAGGGGGTTGTCTTCACCCGACCTGCCTTCTCCACTTTACACACATTTTTCCAAAAAAACTAAATAGGAAGAAACAGTTTCCAACTCATTTGATGAGGCCCAAATAGCAAGACAAAACAAAGGCAAAATTACAGACAAGTATTTCTAATAAATATAAGTGTAAAAATCTATGACAAAATGTTAGCAAATTAAATCTAGCAATATATAAAAGGGATACATATCATGACCAAGTGAGGTTTTACCCAAGGGCATGCAAGACTAATTCAATATTAATATTGAAAGGGGCGGGAGAAAATAATAGAATAATAGAGAACTAATCATAGTGGGGTGCTAGCATAGTTATAAGAAATGCTGAATATCCTTACTCTGTTCATCATGATTGCTTTGTTCTGATTAAAGAAAGCCCGTTTTGACCTGACCGGGAGCTGTGCGCCCTGGGAATTTACCTCAGGAATGCTATCCATTCTCCTTACCTGAGAACTCCCCCCAACCCCCATCATGGAAAGACTAGCAACATTGGAGTCTTGGAGATGGTATACTGGAGACAGCCCACATTCCCAGCTCATTTTTCCCTTTGCCTACTTCCTCAATCATTTGACCCACTGATACTCCTTTTTGCCTACTTCCCCATGGAATACCCAATATAAGTGACTGGCTATG